TTTTTTTTTTTTAGCGAGCAGCAGGAGAAAACAAACAAAACAAAGAAAACAAAACAAAGAAAACAAACAAAACAAAGAAAACAAAACAAAGAAAACAAACAAAACCGAGCAAAGCAGAATAACAAACTCAATAAAACAAACACAACAAACGAGAGAAAGACAAAACACGGGTATGAAGCAACCCGCTGTCTGCTGAAACACAAAATCAAGCTGCTGCTGCTGCTGCTGCTGCTGCTGCTTCTGCTGCTGCAGCTGCTGCTGCTGCTGCTGCTATTAACACTTCTGCTTTTGCTGCTTTTGCTGCTGCTGCTTTTGCAGCTGCTGCTTTTCCCACTGCTTCTGTTACTGCTGCTGCTGCTGCCTTTGCTGCTGCTGCTGCTTCTGCTGCTGCTGCTGCTTTTGCTGCTGCTGCTGCTTTTGCTGCTGCTGCTGCTTTTGCTGCTGCTACTTTTGCTGCTGCTGCTTTTGCTGCTGCTGCCTTTGCTGCGGCTGCCTTTGCTGCTGCTGCCTTTGCTGCTGCTACTGCATCTGCTGCTGCTGCCTTTGCTGCTGCTGCTGTTTTTGCTGCTGCTGCCTTTGCTGCTGCTGCTTTTACTGCTGCTGCTGCTTTTGCTGCTGCTGCTTTTGCTGCTGCTGCTTTGCTGCTGCTACTGCGTCTGCTGCTGCTGCTATTGCTGCTGCTGCTATTGCTGCTGCTGCTATTGCTGCTGCTGCTTTTGCTGCTGCTGCTTTTGCTGCTGCTCTTGATTCTGCTGCTACAACTGCGGCTGCTGCTGCTGGTTTTGCTGCTGCTGCTGCCGCTGCTTTTGCTGTTGATGCTGCCTCCACTGCTGCTACTCTTATCGCTAATCCTACTGCAGCTGCTGCTGCTACCGCAGCTGCTGCAGTAGAAGCAGCAGCTGCTGCTGCTGCTATTTCTATCCCTGCGCTTGTTGTCGCTGCTGCCCGAGGAACTGCTGCTCCTGCTGCTGCTGCTTCTGCTGCTGCTGCTGCTGCTGCTGCAGCTATCTAAACCGTCCTGCCCTTATCTCTCTTTTAGCAGCTGCTGCTGGTGCCGTTTCTTCCGCTGTTGCTGCTGCTGCTGCTGTTGCTGCTGCTGCACCAGCAGCAGCAACAGCAGCAGCAGGGAGCCGCTGATGAGCAGCAAACAAGCCAAGACAGAAAACAAACGAAAGAGAAAATAAATAAAGAAACTAAAGACCCCTATATAAACACCAAGCCCCATCCCGCAGCACCCAGCGGGCCCCTCTTGCTGCTGCATGCGGCGGAGGGGGGGGAGGAGGAGGGGTCATTAGGCCTCTGCTGCTGCTGCTGCTGCTGCTGCTGCTGCTGCTGCTGCTGCTCTTGCTGATGCCTTCTCTTTGAGTAGACAGATAGAACACACGGGCCCCGCCATGCTCCTGCTGCTGCAGCAGGGGCTGCTGCAATTGCTGCTGCTGCAGCAACTGCTTCTGCAGCAGTTGCTGCTGCAGCTGCTGCTGCAGCTGGTGAGGCGGGGGCGGGGGCGGCGGAGGGCCGCTAATCAAATCTCCTTCTGATGCATATAAGGGGAATTGTTGCTGCAGCTGCTGCTGCTGCTGCTGCTGCTGCTGCTGCTGCTGCTGCTGCTCGCTGAGAAGCTGCTGCGGTTGCTGTTGGTTCTGGTGTTGCTGCGGCTGCTGCAACAAGGGTGCAGCGCGGTACCGCTGCTGGCGTCTACTGCCCATACCAATGCGCTGCTGCTGCTGCTGCTGCTGCTGCTGCTGCTGCGGCTGCGGTAGCAGCGCGGCCTGCCTCAGATGAGAGTAAAAAGGAGGCGGTGGTTCGTTGTGCTGCTGCTGCACCGGGAGCTGCAGCTGCTGCAGCAAAAGCTGTTGTTGCCACTGCAGCGCTGGATGCAGCAGCTGCTGCTGCAGCTGCTGCTGCAACTGCTGCTGCAGCAGCGGAGGGGGGGGGGGGGG